GAGGTCCCAGGGCCCACCCACAGCGCCCTGCTGTGCCTGGGGCCAGCCTGTCCGGGATGTGCCCGTGCGGGCGTCTCGCAGGCTACTCACGGCCTTTAGGGTCCGTCCTGGGCTCCCCAGCATTGAGTCTGAAGCCTCCCCTCTCCCCTCCCCGCAGGGCTCCTCACCAGCTTCATCCTGCAGCTGTACGGCACGGACGAGGACATGATGGCCAGACAGATCGCAGCCTCCGTTGTGAGCGAGTGTGCGAGGCGGGACGCCACGGGGGCGTGCGAGGGTGAGTCATCCTCCTTCGGTCCAGCCCCGGCACCACCAGACTCACTCCGCAGTAGCCCTGGAGCAAAGTGAAGGGTTCTCGCCTGCTCTCCCCACACCTGCCCTCCCCCGGGCAGGGAGCGCTCTGCCCGCCGGCATCGCCTCAGCTCGCCTGGGAAGGGGCCCTTGTCGTACTGGGGTGAGCTTGGGGAAGGGCTTCACGTCAGCCTTGTCCTCCCTCCCTTCGCCTCAGGCGCCAGGAACGCGCCACTGCTTATCCGCCTGCCTCTCTCTCTCCCCTGAGCCCCGGGGTGCCCTGGTGCCCCAGGCTGCAGGTTGGAACTAAACCCACCTTGAATCCTTGCAGGCCCGGGTTCGAATGCTGGCACTTACCCCGGTGTCCTGCAGAGAGAGGTCACTGGCGTGGCCACGTCTGGGAGGAGACCTTAAACGCCAAGGCCCAGACTTTCCCGGGCAGCTAGGCGCCAAACCGTCTGGGATCTGAGCCTGGTCCCTATTGTGGGGGGCGGGGCCAGCCATGCCAGGGCCCCTCCGTCAGGGCTGCAAGCCCCCTCTACGTCAGACTCTGTGCTACCCCGGAGGGGGCTGCATCGCAGCCTGACCCAGTGCGGAGCTGGAGGTGCTCACGCTAACGTGCCCCTCTCCCCACAGAATGCGCCAGCCCCTTCTACGCCTTCCAGCACCTCTGCCTGTCCTACTGCCCTCCCCGCTTCTACAACCGATCCAAGCGGTCCCCCGCCCCGGAGGGGAGCCCCCACGCCGCCCAGGTCTGCGCCACCTGCCACCCGTCCTGCTACACCTGCCGGGGGGCCACGGCCAACAACTGCACCGCCTGCCCGCCCTCCTGCACCTTCCACGAGCCCTCCCACTCCTGCTCCCCGCCGGCCTTCGCCGCTCGCTTTCCCAGCCCGGTGGCCGAGCACCGGCAGCACCTCGCCTTCCTCCTCCTGGCCATCCTGCTGGGCGGGGGCCCTCTGCTCGTGGGCCTGCTCTGCGTCGCCTACCACGTGCTGGCCCT